AATCATGCCATCAACAAGATAATAGTAAAGTACAAGTTTTCCATTCCACGGTTAGAGGATATTTTAGATATGCTTGGGGGTTTTAAGGTCTTCTAAAAAATAGATCTTCATAGTGGTTATCACCAGATCCGTATTAAGCCTGGGAATGAATGGAAGACTGCCTTCAAGATTAAGGAAAGACTTTACGAATGGTTGGTGATGCCATTCGAACTTTCAAATGCTCCAAGTACCTTCATGAGGATGATGAACCAGATTCTTCGTCCTTTTATCTGGTCTTTTCTTGTGGTTTTTCTATGATATTCTTATCTATAGCAAGTCTAAATAGGATCACCTAATTCATTTGAGGCGAGTCGTGAAGGTTCTGAAGGAAAATCAGTTGTATATCAACTTGAAGAAGTGCAGCTTCTGTACATCTAAGCCATTGATTTTAGGTTTTGGTTGTTGGTGAATATGGTTTGCATATAGATAAAGAGAAGACAAATGCAATTCGAGATTGGCCAACACCAAAGTCAAATTCTGAAGTGAGGAGTTTTCATGGTTTGATAACTTTCTACAGATGATTTATCAGGCATTTTAGCACTATTGTAGTACCTCTCACAGAATGTTTAAAGAAAGGAAGATTCGGTTAGGGAAAGGAACAAGATAAGAACTTCACCTTCATCAAAGAAAAGTTGTGTATAACTCTAGTATTAGCTTTGCCAAGCTTCAAGAAGATCTTTGAGGTAGAGTGTAATGCTATGGCATTGGTATCAAGGCTATCCTTTCTCAAGAGAATAAATTCGTAGCTTTCTTTTTAGAAAAGTTAAATGATGCTAGGCAGAAGTGGAGTACCTACGAGCAAAAATTCTATGCAATTGTGAGAGTTTTGAAGTAATGGGAACACTACTTGGTACAGAATAAGTTTGTATTGTTCACTGATCACCAAACATTGAAATTCATTCATAGTCAGAAAATATATCAGTGGGATACATGCTCGATGGGTGACTTTACTTTCCTCCAGAAATTCCCTTTTGTGATTAAGCATAAATCTGGAAGTACAAACAGAGTTGCAAATGCACTGAGTCGGAGAACTTCCTTGTTGATCACATTATCACAGGAAATTGTTAGGTTTTAGTGCTTGAAGGAATTGTATGCAGATGATCCTAATTTTAAGGAGATTTGGAGCAAGTGTGTGAATCGAGAATCAATAGTGGATTTTTATATTAGTGATGAATATTTATTCAAATGCAACCAACTTTGTATACATGTTTCATCTCTACGTGAAAAGTTGATTCGAGATCTGCAAGGTGGAGTTTTAAGTGGGCACTTGGGGCATGACAAGACAATAGCCAGTTTGGCCACAGTTGAAGCAGGATGTTGGAATTATAGTTAGAAGGTGTTATACTTGTCAAGTGTCAAAGGGTCAAGTGCAAAGTACTGGATTGTAATGTCACTTCCTATGCCTCAGGGCATATGACAAGATCTGGCTATGGATTCTATTTTTGTGGTGGTTAACAGGTTTTCCAAAATAGCACACTTCATAGGCTGTCGGAAGACTTCAGATGCATCAAACATTACCAAATTGTTTTTCAGGGAGATTGTTAGATTGTACGGAGTTCCCAAGTCTATCACATTAGATCAGGATACAAAAATTTTGAGGCACTTTTAGATTACTTTGTGAAAGTTGTTTGGAACCAATTTAAATCGAAACAATATTGCCCATCCCCAAATTGATAAACAGACTGAGGTTACTAACCGTACCCTTGGAAACATGGTTTGAAGTGTTTGTGGTGATAAGCCTAATTAGTGGGATCTGGCACTACCCCAAGTGGAGTTCGCGTACAACAACACAGTTCATACTGCTACAGACAGGTCCCCGTTTGCTATTGTGTATACAAAGGTGCCTTACCATGTGGTGGATTTGGTGAAATTGCCTAAAAGTGATACAAAAGTGTTGCTGTTGAACATCTAGCAGATGAGGTGTTAGCAGTTCGTGATGAGGTAAAACAAAAGTTAGAGAAAACTAATGCAAAGTACAAGGCAGCAGCAGATTCACATCGACAGGATAAACAATTTTAGGAAGGGGACTCTATGATAACATTTTTGAGAAAGGAGAGATTTTTCGTCGGTACTTACAATAAGCTGAAACCAAGGAAATATGGGCCTTTTAAAGTGCTTAACGGATTAATAACAATGCCTACATTATTTATTTGCCAGCTTCTATGGGTATTTCTCGAACGTTTAATATGACAAATTTGTATGAATTCCATAAAGACGATAAGCCTTTGCATCCAAAACATAACTTGGGGTCGAGTTTTTTGGAGGTGGAAGGGATTGATGTAGGACATATTGGTCATATTGGGGAAGAAGTACTAGTAGAAATAAAATATCTTAATTTCAGATTGGGTCCATAAAACCATTCTGGAAAGAGAACGACGAAAGGAACAATACTTACGACTGCTCCGTGATATATGACGAATTTTGGTCATTCGAGTTCGTTTAGGACTCGAAAAGTGATTTTTAAAGTTTTAGCGCTATTTTGTCAATTCATTTATTTTGGATTTTTTTACAATTTTAATTTGTTTAAACTTCGTTTTCATTACTTTTAGTTGTTTAAACTACGTTTCCATGTAAATCCTTATAAATAAGGGGTTAGTTCTTTTTTTTTCTTTTTTTATCATTCATCAATAAAATTTTTGAAATTTATTTTTTTTGTGATTTCAAGATTTTCGCTTGAATTCATTTTTCTCGCTACTCGCAAATCATTGTAATCTAAATTTTATTTTTACAGAAGTTATTGCTTTATAAAAATTCAAAAAAAAAAAAAA